GCTCTTCTCTGCACTCTTTCTAGAGTCTCAACCTCTTTTTTATAGTGTGGTGGTGACCAAAACTGACTCTCCATATTCCAATTGTGGCCATCACACTTCTTATGATCTTGATTCTGTTCTCGGAAACTTTAAGACAAGCGGACTTCAACCCCCAGAATTCATGGCTGGCTGGGGAATTCTGGGAGTTGAAGTCCCACTCAAAGGTTTGAAAACCCTTCCTTTAAAAAAGAAGGAAGAATTCAATGCAGGGGTGAAATCTAAAATTTGTTACCACCGGTTCTGTGGGCGTGGCTTGGTGAGGGGGGTGTAATGTGACTGGGTGGGCGTGGCCAACTTTTTTTTTTTTACTTTTAAAAGCATTTTTTCTACAACCTTAAGAGGTTGCAGAAAAAAAATGCTTTTAGAAGCCTCTGACGATCAGGCAACTCAGCTGGGCTCGCCAGAGGCTTTTAAAGGCATTTTTTCCCCCTACAACCTCTTTGGTCGAAGACGTTGCAGAAAAAAAATGCTTTTAAAAGCCTCTGACAATCCCAGCTGAGCCGCACGATCATCAGAGGATTTTTTTTTTTAACTTTTAAAAGCATTTTTTCGGCCAAAGAGATTGTAGAAAAAATGCTTTTAAAAGTAAAAAAAAACAGCCTCTGATCATCGCGCGGCTCAGCTGGGCATGGGGAGGGGGGGCAGGGATTTTTGCTACCGGTTCTCCGAACCACCCGCCGCCATCGCTACCGGATCGGGCCATCCGGTCTGAACCAGGAGCATTTCACCCCTGATTCAATGTCTATTTGTTATGTGACACCCTCTCCCCTTGGGTGCAGGCGTGTAAACACTGACGCCCTCGTGAAACAGCCTTTTGTCCCTGTTCTAAAGATAGCAGAATGAAGTAAACCTATTTTCGTGATATATAGCAAGCCTCGGCTTCCAGACGAGGCTTTCCCCCCCCCTATAATCTAAGTAAATCCACCGATTATTTTCCTTCGGTCGGCTCAGAGGTTCGGGCATGGCCAAAGCCGGGCAGGAGGCTGGGCGCCTCCAGCTTTGTGCAAAATGGGCTCTAGTCTTTCCTGCTTAATTCGAAAAAAATGCCTGGCCTTCTTTCGATCAGAGGCATTTGAGGACAGGAGAGCTTTCGATAAGGAGATTTTCTCGCCGAAAAGCTAAGCGGAGCCCTTAGTGATTTTAGCAACTGCTAACTTTTCCAAGGCGAGCCTGATTTTTAGTAAGGCCAAAATATTCAGCTTCTTGCGTCCAGCCACGGAATGTAAGACGCTTGAAATTTTGCTTTTGTTGGTAAGGGGCTCCCAGAGGTGGGTTTTACAGAATTTTTCCACCGGTTCGCCATGCACTGAAAATGTGAGTGTGCACGCGGCCACGCTCGCTTCGCTCTCACATACACCTTTCACACATGCGCATCAATGGTGAAATGTAAAATTTGTTACTACCGGTTCTGTGGGCGTGGCTTGGTGGTGGTGGGGGGTAATGTGACTGCGTGGGCGTGGCCAACTTTTTTTTTAAAAAAAAACTTTTAAAAGCATTTTTTCTACAACCTCTTCGGCTGAAGAGGTTGTTAAAAAAAATGCTTTTAAAAGCCTCTGACGATCCCAGCTGATCGTCAGAGGCTTTTGTTTTCTTTTAAAAGCATTTTTTTTGCTTTTTTTTTTATTTTAAAAAAGACTTTTACATTCCAGAATAAAGAAGATTAGTTGGAGAGAATTAGAAAGAGAACGGTTGCAAGAATTGGGTATGGCCAGTCTAGAGAAAAGGAGGACTGTGGGGAGGGGGGGCATGATAGCAGGATTCCGGTATTTGAGGGGCTGCCCCCAAAGAGGAGGGGGTCAATTTATTTTTCAAAGCACCAGAGAGCAAGAAGAACAACGGATGGAAACTAATCAAGGAGAGAAGAAACCTGGAATTAAGGAGAAACTTCCTGACAGTGAGGACAATTAATCAGCGGAACAGCTTGCCACTGTAAGTTAGAGACTGGGCAGTCCCTTGTCTGAAATGTAGAGGGTCTCCTGCTTGAGGAAGTGGTTGGACTAGAAGGCCTCCAAAGTCCCTTCCAGCCCTATTCTGATTCTAAAATCCCCACCAGCTTTAAGATGGTTCATTGACTTCTCTAGGAGTCACTCAGAGGACTAGAAACATGTTTTTTTCCCCTTTGGTTTTGATTGAGTCCCTCGATATGAGATGGCTTCAGGGATGTTCTTTAAATAGCCGCAGTTTCTTCCAGCATTCTGTGACTGGTTTATAGGCAGGAAAGTGGGATAGAAATAGCAAATAAAAAAAATGAATCATTATTTAGTCATAATCTCTCTCTCTCTCTCTCTCTCTCTCTCTCTCTCTCTCTCTCTCTCTCTCTCTCTCTCTCTCTCATTCTCCCCTCCTCATCTGGCAATAAAATCTATGCTGTAAATAGGGCACAAAGCAATTAGGGAGTGTTTGTGAAAGCATTTACACATTAATTAAATGATTAAAGTTTTGACACAAGAGAATGTTTGTAACTCAAGGTTGTCCTGTTAAGTCCTTGCACGTCCCCACGATTCATCTTCTTTTAAGGACCCCATAATCCCTTGCAGGGTTGAGTCTGGGCAACTGAATGGAGCTAGCAGAGTATTTTAATGGCCGGTTACTCTTCCTGTCACCAATGAGGAGTTTTATTCAGCAGATATATTCTCATTGTGCCCAGAGAGAGAGAGAGAAATATCTGCCTCTACCTAGGATTGAACTCACAGCCTCCTGATTGTGAGGCGAGAGCTCCACCTCTAGGCCATCGCATCACTCGCACGTCCCCACGGTGTTCCAATTTTTATTGCCAGTGTGTAAGACAGAGCATTTGTTAGTTGAGATTTGGAGTTGCCAATTGGAGTCCTCATTTTACTGACCTTGGAAGGAAAAGAAGGCTGACTCAACCTTGAGCTGGTCAGGATCAAACTGCCGAACTGCTGGCACCCGGCAGTCAGCAGAAGTAGCCTGCAGTACCGCTTTCTAACCACTGCGCCACTGCGGCTCCTTATGGATGACTGAATGAGTGGATGGATCTTTAGAGGTTTCTGTGACTTTGAAATTTGAACTCTTCTGGGGATTGTGCAATGAAGAGTCATTTGTGTCTTTCGCTAAATGGTGGTGGGTTAATCCTAATACGTCTGTTGTGGCCCATCAGTGGCCTGTGCAGTTAGTAGCTGATTCTGACAGCGAGGAGGCTGGTGTGGTGCTGCGCCAGCAGCCTGTGCAGCTGGCATTCGAGTCGGACAGTGAGGAGGCTGGAGAAGATGCGGTGCCAGAGGCAGGGATTCAGCCAGGGCCTTCAGTACCTCCAGAAGCTCCCATAAGTGAAGAGGAAGAAGAGGAGGAGCCTCTTCTCAATTCACAGATGCACAGAGCTGCCAAAAGGCAGGAGTGGCTCCTCAGGAGGAGGTCTCCTCTAGAGTAAGGCTTGGGGCTAATTGGCCACTCCCCTAGCCTATTTAAGGAAGGACAACGACTGATGCAATTTGCAGGAAACAACTTCGTTCATATTCCTTCGCGTCTTGATTCCAGAAACGTTTGATTCGGCTCTTGTTTCTCTCTTGTCAGTTTTCCTGCAAATTGCTTCTGGGCATTCTGCCAACCACAGTAAGATATTACGGTTATCTGAAATACTGTGCCTCAGAATTGAGTTATTATTCTTTGGAGTCTTGTCGGCTGTTAATGAAGTTAAATTAACAGCCCTTGTTCAGAAAAGACTGATTTAAACTGTACTTGTGTTCGAACAACTACTAAGAAAGCTCATTAGTAAACTAAGGTTTATACGGACTTTGTGTGTGCTGCGTTCTCTGGGGTCCGTAGCTGGAGCAGAACAACGTCCTAAAAGGTCCTGTCCTGTCCTTCTTAATCCCATCACCCTGGAGCCGAAGATGTTTCGTTTATGAATAGATCGGCCCGGTTTTCTTAATTCATTAATTTTAATTAATTAAAAAAAAAATTTCTTAAAATCTCCATCTCAAAAGAGTTCTGCTGGAAGCTGTTTTACTATGCAGGAAATTGGGGCTGGAGCATGTTTCTCCCATTTCTCCAGTGGTGGGTTGCTACCAGTTTGCCCCGGATTGGGCAAAATGGTGGTGGCAGCGGTGGGAGGCTCCATCTACTTGCCCAGATATCTCTGCGCACGCGCAGAAGTGTTGTGCGCGCACGCACCCACAAGCAAACTGGTTGCGGCCAAAATCAGACATAAATACAACCGAGAGAGTCCAGAGATGTTTTACGAGAAGAGTCCTCCATTCCTCTAACCGCAATACAATACCTTATGCCACCAGACTCCAAATTTTGGGCTTAGACAACTTAGAACTACGCTGACTTCAGTCTGACCTAAGCATTGGACATAAAATTATCTGCCACAATGTCCTTCCTGTCAATGACTACTTCAGCTTCAACCACAACAATACGCGAGCAAATAATAAGATACAAACTCAAGGTAAACCGCTCCAAACTCGATTGCAGAAAATAGGACTTCAGCAACAGAGTGGTCAATGCCTGGAATGCACTACCTGACTCTGTGGTTTCTTCCCCAAATCCCCAAAACTTTAACCTTAAGCTGTCCACTGTTGACCTCACCCCATTCCTAAGAGGTCTCTAAGAGGCGTGACATAAATGCACCAGCGTGCCTACCGTCCCTATCCTAATATTCCTTTTTACTTACTCTTTTCATGTATTCAAATTACGTTTATACTGTTACCTGTTATCTTATATATGCTTGACAAACAAACTTATGATGATGATTTCTCCTTTGGGGAAATATAATATTCTACCTCTTTTAATATCCCCCCAAATATTTCATTCTTCTAGTGGGGGGAACGGGAGCTTCCCACATCTGCAACTATCTTCAATATTTATTCATGTGTTTATTTGAAGCCGTTGTCTTCCACCTATACATATTTATGAAAGCAAAGACCTCACAGCAGTCTGAACTTTGGTTCCTTGGTCTCTCCCCTCCCCCCCACCCTTCCTCACTGTCTCATCTCCAGGCCACTCCCAGAAGAAGCAGGCATGGAGTCCTTGGGAAGCCCTTCGGGGAACGTGTTGGGTGAGTAGAAGTGGACGTTCAACGGAACGGCGCCATCTTCCCTTTGTGGAAACGTGGAGGTCTTGAGGCCATTCCTCCAGCAGAGATAGGCAATGTCTAGGTCCTGGTTCTCCTCTGGGTTTTGCAGCTGGAGGACTTTCGAGGATGGCTCCACCCACTGGTGGGATCCTCCCAGTTTATTTATTTTATTTATTTATTTTATTTTATTAAATTTCTATACCGCCCTTCTACTGAAGGACTCAGGGCGGTGAACAGCCAGAAGATAAAACACAGAAATACAAAATTCAAAATAAATTAAAACGAATTAAATAATTTAGGCTGAATTTTAAAATACCCCATAATTAAACAGATTAAAATTTATGTTTAAAATTTAAATTTAAAAAAGGAGAAGATTTAGGCCAGGCCAGCTTGATGAAATAAAAATGTTTTAAGCGCGCGACGGAAGGTGCAAAGATCCGGGATCCTCCGTATCTCCGGGGGGAGCTCGTTCCAGATTGTAGGTGCCCCCACAGAGAAGGCTCTCCCCCTGGGGGCTGCCAGTCGACACTGTTTGGCCGACGGCACCCGGAGGAGCCCCTCTCTATGAGAGCGTACTGGCCGGTGGGAGGCTATTGGTGGTAGCAGGCGGTCCCGTAGATAACCAGGTCCTAAGCCATGGAGCGCTTTAAAGGTGGTAACCAAAACCTTGAAGCGCACCCGGAAGACCACCGGGAGCCAGTGCAGCTAGCGCAGGAGAGGTGTTACATGGGAGCTCCACGTTGCTCCCATAACCACCCGCGCGGCCACACTCTGCGCCAGTTGGAGCCTCCGAGTGCACCTCAAGGGGAGCCCCATGTAGAGAGCGTTACAATAGTCCAGACAAGAGGTGATGAGGGCATGAGTGACTGTGTGTAGGGAGTCCCGATCTAGAAAGGGACGCAACTGTTTAGTGACCAGTTCGGTGATCGTGTGATTTGCGAAACTGTGTGCGCAGTTTCAAGAAATCTTCACTTCCTGGTTCCTTCGGAGGAGTAACTCAGCTGATTCGCGTGGCAATCTGCTCTACCGCGTGAACCAGCTGAGAAGATAAAGGTCGGAAAATAGCGTGGGCGGGCGGGCGAGCCCATCTGAACATTGGGGATGAACCGGTTCGCTCCAAGCTTCAAGTCCGAACTGGTAGAATCCCAGCCTTGGCTCTACCTTTCCATCCCTGTCCTTTTCCTGGTGGAAGGATTCAATGTGGGGTGACCAAAAGGGGTCACCCCATATCCTTGCATGTGTGAATGGGAGGGAAAAATCCACTGTCCAGGAGGGTGTCTGGAGGTTAGGAGGTGCTCCTTGCTGGCAGTCTGAGCTTTACCGGGAATAATTAAGAGAAGAGAATCTTGGGATTCTACTTTAGGATTCAATGTGCCCTGAGCTCTTCAAGTCCTTCTCTCAACATGGTGCATGAGAGGAGTTAGGTAGGAGAAGGAGTGGCAGAAGCTGGGCTGGAGTGAAACGAGGGACCAGCCTAGAATCCCTACGTGGCCACCGGGAAACTGGATTGTTTAACATGAGACCGACAGTCAAGAAGCAAACAATACCCCAGTTAGGGAACCACGAAACAGGCTAACAGTAAACAACAGCACAATCAAGGAAGCAGCAAGACCACTCCCACCGACACTGACAGGGCAAGCCACTCGATAGAATATAAAAGGAGAGCAAACCCTCCTCCCTCCTAGCACTGATGATGGTACCTAGTTTGGTAATGAAACGTCTGCAAGGAAACCACCAAGTGCAGAGAGGACCAAGGACCCATAGTCCTCCTCCTCCTCCTCCTCCTCCTCCTCCTCCTCCTCTCCACAAACTCCACTCCCTTCTAGCACGGATGATATTACCTAGTTTGGTAATGAAACGTCTGTAAGAAAACAGCCAAGCTCAGAGAGGACCAAGGACCCACAGTTCTCCTCCTCCTCCTCCTCCTCCCCCCCGTCCTCCTCCTCCTCCTCCCCACAAAACCCACTCCCTTCCTGCACTGATGAGATTACCTAATTTGGCAATGAAACGTCTCCCAAGAAACTCTCTGGTGTGAGAACACCAGAGACCCTACCGTATATTATACGTATTGACTGTGTTAAGGATATTGGTGTTGTGTTACCAACCAGCAGAGTGTATGCACAAGGAAACGTTGCTGAGAGCAATGAATAAGAGATATGCAAACTGGTTTATCAAAAGCTTACTTTATAGTAGAAAAGCAGTCTCATAGTCTTTAAACAAATTCCAAGTCTTTGCCAGTTAAATCAGTCCAGTAGTTACAGATATCGTCTTACCCAACAAACAGTAGTTGGTTAGAATAACAAACTCACTCTGGTTCACAAATCACGATGGTAGCAGATCCATCCAACCATGATTAGCAGATAGCAATTCCTCTCAATGGTAGCATATCATCTCAGCTTCATCATCAAACTGAATACGTTACAATACCTTGCTTAAATACTCTCACAACCAGTCATTACCTAATTACAGCATGACTCAGCATTACAGCCTTAAAAGTTACACAATACATATTCACATTAAAGTTACAGTACACATATATTGCCTGGACAACTTGTTAGGCTCAAACCATATCCTAACAGACTGAAATGTCCATACCTCGTGTGACAACAGCCCGAAGACATGTGGATGTATATTATGGATGTTTACACAGTCATAAGAGGAAACTTTAGAAGCTATAAGTGTGGCATAAGTGCATCTTAACAAGTACTTGTGAGAATCTCCTCTTTTTAAAACTGATCATAGTTTTTAGAATAGAACAGAATAACAGAGTTGGAAGGGACCTTGGAGGTCTTCTAGTCCAACCCCCTGCCCAGACAGGAAACCCTACACCACTTCAGACAAAGGGTTATCCAACATCTTCTTAAAAATTTCCAGTGTTGGGGCACTCACAACTTCTGGAGGGAACTTATTCCACTTATTTTTTTTTTAACTTTTTGTCCTTAACACTCCACAGCTCCTCCAAGCTCCTTACATTTTAGTAACGGAGCTCACCACAAGAGGAAGACTCTGGTTGCTCCGGAAATCAACATTTCTTTGGATCAGAGCGAAGGCTCCCTCCTGTCCGACGATTTCCTGGACACGCCGGATGACCTGGATATAAACGTCGATGACATTGAAACGCCGGATGAGACGGATTCTCTGGAATTCCTGGGGAATGGCAACGAACTGGAATGGGAGGGTAAGAATTGATGGATGATTTATCAGGAGCGGCTGAGGTTAAAGCGGGAGATATATATACATACATATATACATACATACACACACACACACACACACACACACATATATATATACATACATACATGTAGGTCTTTGGTTATTCGGGTCTTCTCCCGCGTAAACTTGGAAGTGTCTTGGCAACGTTTCGACGAAGTCTCATTCGTCATCTTCAGGCTGGTGTTCTCGGCTTCGTGCTTCCAGGAGCAATGTGAAGCACGAAGCCGAGAATACCAGCCTGAAGATGATGAATGAGACTTCGTTGAAACGTCGCCAAGACACTTCCAATTTTACGTGGGAAAAGACCCGAATAACCAAAGACCTACATACAAACACCCGCGAAAACCTGAGAAAACATATATACATATATATATATATATATATATATGCGATAGCCTTCATACTTTTGTATATTTATACAAAGTCAGCTTATTGCCCCCCACAATCTGGGTCCTCATTTCACCTACCTTTGAAAGGATGGAAGGCTGAGTCAGCCTTGAGCCTGGCGAGATTCGATCTTATTTTAATTGCAGGCAGCTGGTGTTAATTACAGTGCTTCTGTCTGTTGAGCTATCCCGGCTCCTATTTTGCGAAATAGATTATTCATTATTGGTCAGTTGTGCTTTGGACACACAAGAAATTTGTGTCCAGTGCAGAAGCTCTCAGTGTATTGGTCAGTTGTGCATGAAAGCTACAAAGGATAAGTCATGATCATAATCGTAAAATGCAGTCGTCATAAATCATAAGATACAAACAACGAACTTAGAACAACTTTACTGTCACTTTGAATGTAGACTAATCGGCATAGATTAAAATGAAATTTCGTTGCATACAGTTCTCAAAGGGTCCTCACCTCCAATAGACACTCCATGAACATGACAAAATAAATAAATAAATACAAAATTAGTGTGAAGGAGGTTCTGGGTTCGAATGAACCGTGGCCCGATACGCACACAAACGCACTGAAGCATGCAAGTTGACTGAGGAGTCTTAAAAAGGTAAATAGTTTAACATTACAAAAACACATAAAAACAAACCTACAAAAAGGCATCAACAGCCTAAAAGATTCTCCTCTTAGCAAAGTCCATTTAGCAGTCTTCTACTGCAGGTCTCCTCAGGAGCAAAGGTAATGACTCAGCTCTTTGCAGTAACTCAACTCTGGAGGATTTTGGGTGCTCTCAGCTGCCTCTGCTCACAGCTGCTCTCTCTCTGTTTCTCAGCATCTCTCAGAGAGTCTTGCATGAGAGGCTCTCTCTGAGGATCTCTCAGCTCTCTGCTCGCTCCAGCTCTGTAGCAGCTCTGCGTAGCTCTTGCAGCTCAGCTGTGGCTCTGCTCCTGCTGCTACTTATATACTGGCCAAGTAGCGGTTGGAAAGCACAGGTAACTCAGAGCCAGGAAGCTGTGCTCTGATTGGTTGATTCAAACCATGCAAACTTAACAATCAATTAGTTGCAGCAAAATGCTCAGAGACTTTTCCTCTAACAATTAGGCATGTACCCACATATATTATATGACACAGAGAAACAACACAGTCTAGTTCAGATGTATACATGTACATGGAGAGTAAAACAAATCTATAAGCAGGATCCTCAATAACGGGAAGCCACCTTCCTATAATCTTCTCCGTTGTCCTGACCACTCTCTATAGGGACTTTCTATCTGAGGCACTGCTGCCACCAAACCAAACAGGGATGCGGTTTGTTAAAATGCTCTCGATCGTGGCTCTGTAAGACGTGGCCAGGACAAAGTGATGGTCATAAGATGCGAAAGGAATAGGTAGTAGGAAAGATGAGAAGGATAATAGCCCTGCTAGGTGGTTTGACATCTCAGGGCATAAGACAGTGTTGTGGAAATTAGTTGTTTAGCAGAGTGATGGCATGTGGGGGGTGGCGGGGGGGAGGAACTATTTTTGTGTCTAATTGTTCTGGCCTGCAATTGGGATGTCTTGGAGGGTAGGCACTGGGGGTCAAACCTTTGAACAATGTTTTTTAAAAAAACAGAATGCGGTTTAATTTTATTAGATTTGATGAATTAAAAATGTACTGTATTCCACAATAAAGAAGCCAGTGCAGTCTTAGCTGCATCAACAGGGAGATACTGTAGTTCCATACAATTCCCTCCCCTCTCAGTTTCCCACAGTAGTAAAAGCCTTGTCCTAATAAACTACTTCCCTTTTCTGGGAATTTTCCCAGTGGTGAAATGCTCCCGGTTCGGACCGGATCGCCCGATCCGGTAGCGATGGGGGCAGGTGGTTCAGAGAACCGGTAGCAAAAATCCCTGCCCACCCCCATGCCCAGCTGAGCCGCGCAATCATCAGAGGCTTTTTTTTTTAACTTTTAAAAGCATTTTTTTCTAAAACCTCTTTGCAAAATAAATGCCTTTAAAAGAAAACAAAAGCCTCTGACGATCAGGAGGTTTTTAAGAAGAGTTTGGATAGCCACTTGTGTGAAATAGTACCGGGTCTCCTGTTTGAGCAAGAGGAAACCCTAGACCAGTGGTGGCTAACCTTTTTGGCGTTTCTTGCAAACAATGGGGGAAGCTTGGTGGGATCATGTGTGCGCATGCCCACACCCATAATTTTTTTTTTTTAATTTGATTTATATGCCGCCCTTCTCCGGAGACTCAGGGCGGCTTACAATGCGTTAAGCAATAGCCTTCATCCTTTTGTATATTTATGCAAAGTCAGCTTATTGTCCCCACAATCTGGGTCCTCATTTCACCTACCTTAGAAAGGATGGAAGGCTGAGTCAACCTTGAGCCTTGGCGAGATTCGAACCTGCAGTAATTGCAGGCAGCTGTTCTTAATAACAGGGTACTTTAGACCACTGCACTACCAAGGCTCTTGGTAGTACAGGAAATTGGCTCTTGATACAGGAAATTAATGTTCCCTGCCCCCCCGCACATGTGCACACAACCCCCCCCCCGTGCTCCCCCTGCTTTTGGCACGTGATGGCACGGTGGTACCGGAAGGCCCGTTTTTCGCCCTCCCCAGGCGCCAGAGGCTTTCTAGGAGCCTGGGGAGGGTGAAAATGGCCTTCCCCACCCCTGCAGAAGCCCTCCGGAAGCCGGAAACAGCCTGTTTCTTGACTTCCTGTGGGCCCGGAAGGCCCGAAAATCAGCTGGCTGGCGCGCACATGCGCACTGGAGCTGAGCTAGGGCAACGCTCACGTGCCCACCGATATGGCTCCGTGTGCCACCTAGGGCACGCGTGCCATAGGTTTGCCATCACGGCTTTATACTATTTCAGACAAAACGGACTCCTAAAAATGTGTGATTCTGGGCCAGGTTAGGCTTGTGACTCATCTTGTGACGATATAGTCAGCAGGTGCCATCGCTGACTATTGGGGGTGAATCCTTGCCCCCCACAGAAAGGGCTCGCAATCTGGGTGTCCTCCTGGATGCACGGCTGTCTTTAGAAGAGCATATGACGGCCGTGGCCAGGGGGGCCTTTTATCCGCCAGTTGCGTCCCTTTCTGGATCGGGACGCCTTGCGCACGGTCACTCACGCCCTTGTCACCTCCCGGCTGGACTATTGTAATGCTCTCTACATGGGGCTCCCCTTGAAGAGCACTCGGAGGCTCCAACTGGTCCAGAATGCGGCCGCGCAGGTGGTTATGGGCGCAACTCGTTGTGCCCATGTGACACCCCTCCTGCGCGAGCTGCACTGGCTCCCAGTGGTCTTCCGGGTGCGATTCAAGGTGCTGGTTACCACCTTTAAAGCGCTCCATGGCACAGGACCCGGGTACCTTCGAGACCGTCTTCTGCCACCAATAGCCTCCCACCGACCAGTCCGCTCCCACAGACAGGGTCTCCTCAGGGTGCCATCGGCCAAGTTATGTCGGCTGGCGACGCCCAGGGGGAGGGCCTTCTCTGTGGGAGCCCCAGCCCTGTGGAATGAACTGCCCCCGGAAATACGTAAGATCTCCAACCTCCGGGTGTTTCGCTGCGCACTGAAGACCCTGCTGTTCCGCCAGGCAGGGCTATCAACATAATAATTTTAAATTGGGGTATTTAAAATTTTCGGGGTTTTAAACTGGCCAAATCTATTTAATTATTTTAATTTTTAATCATTTTTTGTCTTGTGTTTTTAAATTGGCTGTACACTGCCCTGAGTCCTTCGGGAGAAGGGCGGTATAGAAATAAAATTATTATTATTATTATTATTATTATTATTATTATTATTATTATTATTATCGTGTCTTCCTGGTTCTCCTTCTCAGACGACACTCCCGTGGCCACAGCCAAAAACATGCCCGGAGACAGTGCAGACCTATTTGGAGATGGAGGCGGGGAAGACGGGGGTGCCCCCAATGGCCGTCTGTGGAGGACGGTCATAATTGGGGAACAGGAGCACCGCATCGACCTGCAGATGATCAAGCCGTACATGAAGGTGGTGACTCATGGAGGTGAGAATCCCTGGAGACACCACGAGGTCTCCAAGTCAAGTCTTTGGAGGAGGAGGGAGCAGATCCATCAGGCGGGGATGGCCCTCATATTTCAGGAAGGGATTTCATGGCCAGCTCATCAGGTCAATTGCCTCCATGCTTCTGTCTCTCTCTCTCTCTTAGGTTACTACGGGGAAGGCCTCAATGCCATTATTGTCTTCGCGGCTTGTTACTTGCCAGACAGCAACCTACCTGACTACATTACATCATGGAGAACCTCTTCCTGTAAGTGGGGGCTCTTCCTGTCTTCTGCAAAGGAGGGGAGACATCTTGCTAAGGCTCCATTGGGGGAGCTGCCTAAGTCATCTCTAATATGGGAAATTTCACACGGGTGTGTGTGTGTGTGACCTGAAAAAAAGGATTTGGTTTGCCAGATTCCTGGCCCTTTGGGAGGTGTTTAAAAAGAGGGCTGCTTTGTCCTCCCGGACTTCAACTTCCAGAATTCCCCAGCCAGCGTGCTTGAAGATGGATGGACTTCAACTCCCAGAATTCCCCAGCCAGCGTGCTTGAAGATGGGTGGACTTCAACTTCCAGAATTCCCCAGCCAGCGTGCTTGAAGATGGATGGACTTCAACCCCCAGAATTCCCCAGCCGGCGTGCTTGAAGATGGGTGGACTTCAACTCCCAGAATTCCCCAGCCAGCGTGCTTGAAGATGGATGGACTTCAACTCCCAGAATTCCCCAGCCAGCGTGCTTGAAGATGGGTGGACTTCAACTCCCAGAATTCCCCAGCCAGCGTGCTTGAAGATGGGTGGACTTCAACTCCCAGAATTCCCCAGCGAGCTTGTTTGAAGATGGGTGGACTTCAACTCCCAGAATTCCCCAGCCAGCGTGCTTGAAGATGGATGGACTTCAACTCCCAGAATTCCCCAGCTGGCATGCTTTAAGATGGATGGACTTCAACTCCCAGAATTCCCCAGCCAGCATGCTTGAAGATGGATGGACTTCAACCCCCAGAATTCCCCAGCCAGCATGCTTGAAGATGGATGGACTTCAACTCCCAGAATTCCCCAGCCGGCATTGCTTGAAGATGGGTGGACTTCAACTCCCAGAATTCCCCAGCCAGTCATGGGGGATTCTGGGAGTTGAAGTCCACCTGTTTTAAAAGTTTCTAAAGTGGGGAAAATCCCGATCTAAAAAGATACTCTAACCTTGCAGTTTTCTAAGCTCCTTTTTTCTTCACTTCTCTTTCTTCTCTCCTTTTCTGAAAGGTACGTGATCAGCAGTTTGGAGCTGCTGGTTGCCGAAGACTACATGATTGTATATTTGAACGGCGCCACTCCACGGAGGAGAATGCCGGGCATCGGCTGGCTGAAAAAGTGCTACCAGATGATCGACAGACGGTAAGGAGGGTTGATCCCACCCATAACGGACCCCAGGTCACTGTCGGTTCGGTTGAGGAAGGGGTGCCTTGCGCCTGCTCTTTTGCGGCAATGCTGACGCAATCTCCTGGTGTGTGTGTGTGTGTGTGGAGGTCTGTATTTTCTCACATCCCAGCATTTGACTTACCTTCTTTTTTAAATACATTTGGCCTGGACTCCTCAAGCCAGGCATTTATAGTTGGGTATTTGGCCATAAATTTGATATATCTATATATATATCTCCATCTTTATCTCCATCCCTCCCTCCCTCCCTCTCATCTCTCTCAGCTATCATCTATCTATCTATCCATCCATCAATATCTGTCTATTTATGTCATCTATCTCTTTTTTTTATAAAATAATTTTTATTGAGTATTTTACATTTTAAAACCAAACACACAATAGCAAAAGAAATCAAGAGTTATGTCATCTATCTCATCTCTCTGTCTCATCTCTCATCTGTCTGTCTGTGTCCGTCCATCCATCCATCCATCCATCCATCCATCCATCCATCCATCCATCCATCCATATTTGTCTATTTATGTCATCTATCTCATCTCTCTCTTCTCCCTTCTCTCTCTCTCTCTCTTCTATCCATCCATCCATCCGTCCATCCATATCTGTCTCTTTATGTCATTTCTCATCTTTCTCTCATCTCTCTCATTTCTCATCTGTCTGTCTGTCTGTGTCCGTCCATCCATCCATCCATCCATATCTGTCTATTTATGTCATCTATCTCATCTCTCTCTCTTCTCCCTTCTCTCTCTCTCTCTATCTTCTATCCATCCTCCATATCTGTCTCTTTATGTCATCTCTCATCTCTCTCTCATCTCTCTCATCTCTCATCTGTCTGTCTGTCTGTGTCCGTCCGTCTGTCCATCCATCCATCCATCCATCCATCCATCCATCCATCCATATCTGTCTATTTATGTCATCTATCTCATCTCTCTCTCTTTCCCTTCTCTCTCTCTCTCTCTATCTTCTATCCATCCATCCATCCATATCTGTCTCTTTATGTCATCTCTCATCTCTCTCTCATCTCTCATCTGTCTGTCTGTCTGTGTCTGTCCATCCATCCATCCATCCATATCTGTCTATTTATGTCATCTATCTCATCTCTCTCTCATCTCTCATCTGTCTGTCTATCTTCTATCCATCCATCCATCCATATCTGTCTCTTTATGTCATCTCTCATCTCTCTCTCATCTCTCTCATCTCTCATCTGTCTGTCTGTCTGTGTCCGTCCGTCCGTCCGTCCATCCATCCATCCATCCATATCTGTCTATTTATGTCATCTATCTCATCTCTCTCTCTTCTCCCTTCTCTCTCTCTCTCTATCTTCTATCCATCCATCCATCCATCCATATCTGTCTCTTTATGTCATCTCTCATCTCTCTCATCTCTCATCATCCATCCATCCATCCATCCATCCATCCATCCATCCATATCTGTCTCTTTATGTCATTTCTCATCTCTCTCTCATCTCTCTCATCTATCATCTGTCTGTCTGTCTATCATCTATCTATCTATCTATCTATCTATCTATCTATCTATCTATCTATCTATCTATCTATCTATCTATCTATCATCTATCTATCTTTGTATATGTCAAATGTATGGACCAAAGACCCAATTATAGATAGTCCTCTGTCTGTATCCAACATCCAAAGGAAAATTATGCTTTGCCAGGAGTCAAAAATGACCTCAGGACCCCTAACCAACCATTATTGATTTATTTTTACAGCTTTTAAAATAACAACCCTCCCAAGTGCTTAAAAAAAATGGAAAAATAAAAAACCAACAGAAAAAAAAGGGGGGAGGGGGGAAATCTATGGACCACATGAAAAATTAACTTAATAACATTTCTAGCTTGGTGCCTTAACTGCTACCCCAACCTGGCTCTCTTTTAAGATTCATAGAATTATTATCTCCCTGAGATGCAACTGCTTTGGCCTATTTTATTTTATTTTATTTTTTCCCAAACTGCATCGTCTCCATTTTTTTGCAGGTTACGGAAAAATCTGAAAGCGTTAATAATCGTTCACCCTTCCTGGTTCATTCGGACGGTGCTGGCAATATCCCGGCCATTCATCAGGTAAAGGAATCAAAAGCTGGAGCGAAACCCATTGTCCCCATAATACCAGGGGTGAAATGCTCCTGGTTTGGACCGGATCGCCCAATCCGGTAGCGATGGAGGCAGGTGGTTCGGAGAACCGGTAGCAAAAATCCCTGCCCCACCCCCGCCATGCCCAGCTGAGCCGCACAATCACCAGAGGCTTTTTTTAACTTTTAAAAGCATTTTTTCTACAACCTCTTCGGCCAAAAAAATGCTTTTAAAAGTAAAAAAAAAAAGCCTCTGATGATCGTGCGGCTCAACTGGGATCGTCAAAGGCTTTTAAAAGGAAAAAAAACCCTTTTTTTCTTTTAAATGCCTCTGGCGATCCCAGCTGAGTTGCCTGAGGCATTTAAAAGAAAACAAAAGCCTCTGCCGATCAGGCAACTCAGCTGGGATCGTCAGAGGCTTTTGAAAGCATTTTTTTACAACCTCTTCACCAAAGAGGTTGTAGAAAAAATGCTTTTAAAAGTAAAAAAAAAAAAAATGTTGGCCATGCCCACCCAGTCACATTACCCCCCGCCCCACCAAGCCACACCCACAGAACCGGTAGTAACAAATTTTAGATTTCACCACTGAGCTGAGTGTTTACTGGCCGGATGCCTTTCCTGTCGCCAATGCGGAGTTATATTCAGCAGATACTGTATATTCTCAGAGTGCCCAGAGAGAGAAAAATATCTGCCTCTACCTAGGATCGAACTCACAGCCTCCTGATTGTAAGGCGAGAGCTCCACCTCTAGGCCACTCTGAGCGAAACCCAGCTTTGAAATGATTGCTTTCTTTGGGTCGCTTGCTTTCAATATGCCCTATAGTAGTAAATTTAACCCATTCCTTGTTTCTGGATGGTTGCAGAAATCCCCGAATGCTCCAATTCAGCTTTCTTTCATCTTGTTGACATGTTGGATTACAACACCCATCATCCCTGGAACCTCTAGCCAACATGGCTGAGGATTGCAGGTAGCCCTGGACTTACAACCGTTTGTCCAGTGACTGTTCGAAGTTACAACAGCGCTGAAAAAGACCGTCTTGTGGGACCGTTTTTCGCACTTATGACCGTTGCCGAATTTCCCCATGGTCGAGTGATCAAAATTTGGCAACTGCTTGGCAACTGACTCATAGTTATGACAGTCGCAATGTCCCGGGTGAGGGGGGTGGGGGTGTCACGCGACCCCCTTTTGCGACCCTCTGACGGGCAAAGTCAACGGGGAAGCCAGATTCGTTTAATGACCGTGTGACTAACTCAACGACTGCAGTGCCTCTCTTAACAACCAGGGCAAGAGAGGTCGTAACATGGAGCAAAGCTCACTTAACAACTGCCTTGCTTAGCAATGGAAATTTTGGGCCCAAATGTCGTAAGTTGAGTAATGAAACGGTTAGCATTTTTTTTTTCCTCCTAACCTTTCAAGCATCTTTAAAAGCCATTTAATGACTTTTGGTTTCACCTTAATTAGGGTTCCTTGCAACATCCTGTAAACTTACCAGCTGTAGAGGGAGTCCTCAACTTACAACCACGTTTGATTTGGGTTGCTAAGCAATGCGGTCATTAAGCAAGTCATCACATGACCGGATCCGATTTTACAACCGTTTTTTTTTTTTTTATGAAATTTTATTGAGTAAAGAATATATTACATTTCAAACTCTACAGTTCGGCAACGTATAGTCATCTTGTATATTTACATATATGGAATCTAATCAATTATCTAGGTATTATACAGTTTATACGTAAACCTTGTAAAATTGAACACATAATACAACAATAATATATAGATTAATTAAAAATTATACATTGTCCTGATGAGAGTTAACTTTTGCATTTATTTTTCAACCACCTATACCACAGATCCCAGATCGTATAGAATTCTGAGTCTTCCTTTCCATTTAAAACATACGTTAATCTGCACATTTCTGCACAGTCCAATACTTTATTGACTATCTGTTCCTCAGTCGGGCATCCTTTCTCTTTCCAGCAACTGGCATAGGAGAGTCTGGCAGCTGTGACAATATGAATGATCAAATATTTCTTTTCCTTAACAAATGTCCATTTTAGCACTCCCAGGAGATAAATTTCAGGTAGAAAATTAATATCCTCGTTTAATATTTCTTGGACCCATTTTTGTATTTTTTTCCAGAATTTCTTCGCTTCCGGACACGTCCACCACATATGGTAGAAGGTACCTTGATGGTGGCCTAAGCAATGCGGTCATTAAGCAAGTCATCACATGACCGGATCTGATTTTACAACCATTTTTACTGCAGTTGTTAAGCGAATCACAGTGGTTACTAAACAAACCAAGCAGTTATTAAGCAAATCCAACTTATAGAGTTGGAAGGGACCTTGGAGGTCCAACCCCTTGCTCAGGCAGGAAACTCTACGTCAGGCAAGTGGCTTTCCAGTCTCTTCTTAAAAGCCTCCAGTCTTGGAGCATTCACAGCTTCCCCAAATGACTTTGCTTGTTAGAAGGCGACTGGCAAGGTCAATCAATCAATCAATCAATCAGAATAGAGCTGGAAGGGACCTTGGAAGTTTTCTAATCCAACTCCGTGCTCAAGCAGGCGATCCTATACCATTCGGGACAGATGGCTGTCCAATCTTCTGAAAAACCTCCAGTGTTCGAGTATCTACAACTTCTAGTGGCAAGCTGTTCCACTGGTTAATTGTTCTCATTGTTAGGAAGTTTCTCCATAATTCCAGGTTTCTTCTCTCCTTGTTTAGTTTCCATCTGTTGTTTCTTGTCCTGCCTTCTGGTACTTTGGAGAATCATTTGACCCCCTCCTCTTTGGGGCAGCCCCTCAAATACTGGAATCCTGCTATCATGTCTCCCACTAGTCCAAACCCTATGAAGGCCACACCTGGAATAACTGCAACCAGTTTTGGTCACCAAGTTACGAAAAAAGACGTTGAGACTTTGGAAAAAGTGCAGAGAAGAGCAACTAAGTGGATCAAAGGCTTGGAGACTAAAACGTGTGAAGGACGGTTGCAGGATTTGGGGTTGGCTACTCTAGAGAAAAGAAGGACTGGGGGAGGCCTGATAGCAGCCTTCCAGCATTTGAGGGGCTGCCAGAAAAAAGAGGAAAGGGTCAACTTATTTTCCAAAGCACCTGAAGGCAGGACAAGAAACAACAGATGGAAACAAATCAAGGAGAGAAGCAACCTGGAATTAAGGAGAAACTTCCTAACAGTGAGGACAATTCACCAGTGGAACAGCTTGCCACCAGAAGTTGTGGGTGCTTCCATCACTGGGGTTTTTTAAGAAAAATCTGGACAGTCACTTGTCTGAGATGGTATAGGTTTTCCTGCTTGAGCACAGGGCTGGACTAGAAGACCTCGAAGGTCCCTTCCAGTTCTATTCTATTCTACCCAATTCCTGCAACAAATTAACTGTCGCAAACGGTGATCACATATCCGCAAGACACTGCAACCCTTGTAAACACAAGCTGGGGTCCAGGGGCTTCGATCGTGATCCGGTCACCTCAGGATTGGTGTGACACCTTGAGGATGAGCCTTAAGTCACATTTTCCAACCCCGTTGTGACTTCAAACTGTTGTTACATGAGTGGTTGCGAGTTCAGGTTGCGGCTGCCCGTAGAAGCTAAAGCTACGTCTCTCTCTTCTCTTCCCAGTGTGAAATTCATCAGCAAAATCCAGTACGTCCACACCTTGGAGGAACTAGCTCATACGATTCCCATGGAGCACGTCCAGATTCCAGATTGCATCCTGCAGTAAGCGTTGTTGTAATTTGGAGGTTCTCAGAACCCTCAACACTGTGAAATAATTACATCATCATCATCATTTAACTACCCCATAATCCCTTGCGGGGTGGAGTCTGGGCAACTGTTCTGCCCCGGCTCCGGATTCCTGAGGATATTGACACACACCAATGGTCCTTATCAAATTTATTAAGTAGTAAGAATAAACCAAAGTCTGGCAAAAGTTGGCAACCAGCTCAGAAAACAAGAAAAAATTCTTTTAAAAGTAAAAAAAAAACCAGTCTCTGATGATCGTGCAGCTCAGCTGGCATCGTCAGAGGCTTCTGAAAGCATTTTTTTCTGCAACCTCTGAAGGTTGTAGAAAAAATGCTTTTAAAAGTTAAAAAAAAAGAAAAGTTGGCCACGCGCACCCAGTCACATTACACCCCCCCACCAAGCCACGCCCACAAAATAAGCCACGCCCACAGAGCCAGTAGTAAAAAAATTTAGAACCCACTCCCTTGTTCAAACAGGAGATCCTATACCATTTCAGACAAGTGATTGTCCAGTCTCTTCTTAAAAACTTCCATTGTTGGAGCATATACAACTTCTGGTGGCAAGAAGTTCCACTGTTTAATGATTCTCACTGTTAGGCAGTTTCTCCTTAATTCCAGGTTGCTTCTCTCCTTGACTGGTTTCCATCCGTTGCTTCTTGTCCTGCCTTCAGGACAAGAAGCAATGGATGAATTGGAGAATAAGTTGAAACCCCCCTTCTTTGTGGCAGCCCCTCAAATACTGGAATGCAGCTATCATGTCCCCCCTGGTCCTTCTTTTCCCTAGATTGAAGGGCTCCTATGGGAATGTACTGGCATAATTTATCCCTGGCCGCAGTGAGCTACAAGGCCGCCTTCCTTATGTCTCCAGTTGCCTATTAAACATTTGTCGGAAAAACTGATTTTTCCCGTACGCAGCAGACGACCCCTTAACGTCCTCCCTGCCGTTTCTGTAGGTTCGAAGAGGAGCGAAACCAGGCTAGGAAAGAACGGTATGTCTCCTTCAGGTGGGTCGGGACCGGGGGGGGGGGGGGGGGGGGGGGGGGGGGCTCCCCTGTATTCCCGGGGGGAGGGGCTATTTGGGAAGGGCCCGCTTCATCCGGCCATGCTCTTATTTCGTTCCAGGGCGGAAGGAGTGAAACAGGAGACGGCTGAGAGAGAGAGGTGAGCTTCCCCCTGTTCCCATTTATTTTATTATTATTATTTATTATTCCTATTTCTATGCCGCCCACTCTCCAAGGACTCTGGGTGGCTTACACCAAAGACAGTCTACTAAATAGCATATTGCCCCCCCAACAATCTGGGTCCTCATTTTACCCACCTCAGAAGGATGGAAGGCTGAGTCAACCTTGAGCTGGTGAGATTTGATCCGCTGATCTGCTGAACTAGCTGCAGTACTGCACCCTAACCACTGTGCCACCTCGGCTCATAGAAATGTCTGCAAGAAAACTACCAAGCTCAGGGATCACCAACGACCCCCCAGCTAATGTCCCCTTGGGCTTCATTCAAAAGCCAGATTCCTCCTATTTGTTTTGAGTCAAGCGAGCATCTTTTGTGGGTTTTGTGATGCAACTTCAGCGTGTTACCTTTGCAAGGTTCAGTAGATACCTTCTCTGTGGGAAATACCCTTGCATTTTCTTTCCTAAGGCTAACTCCGTAGTTGTTAAGTCAACAAGGCTACCATCAGCTACCAATTATTATATATTATATATATAATTACCCGTATTTTTCAGAGTATAAGACAAACCTTTTTTCCCAAAAAAAAGAGGGTGAAAATCTGGGGGTGTCTTATACTCCGAGAGTAATCCTGCCCAGCTTCTCAAATGGAGGTTTCAGAGGCTGAAAAAAGCATCAGAAACGAAGCTTCAGAAAAGAAGCCTCCAAACAGAGTTTCAGAGGCTTTTTTTTCTGAAGTTCTATTTTGGAGGCTTTCAGAGGCAGGAAAAAAAGTTTTTTTCTGAAACGGAGTTTCAGAAGTTTTAGAGGCAGAAAAGAAAAAAGCAAGGCACAGAGCTCACAACCAAGGAACCTGTTGCTAAAATTCACCTCTGGGAACAGCTGATTGGGGGTATTCCGGGAGGCCGATCCACCTGCCAATCAGCTTGTTTCTTATTTTCCTCCTCAAAAACTAAGGTGCATCTTATACTTTGAAAAATACAGGTATATATAATTACATGAACAAGGTTTTCTGCCTTGTGTCCAAATAACTTGCCATTTCAAAGGTCTGTGTGTCAGGAAATTAACTTCTCAGCTGGAGGATTCCAAATATCTGGGGCGGCCCTTGGTGACTGTGGTGTTTGAAAAAAATAAATCCGCTTCATAACGTCTATCAATCAATTTGTCTTACAGGACTGCCCTTCCTTCAGAAGATCAGGAAACAAGGTTTGCAATTTGTTTTTAATTAAAATTCACCTCTTTTTAATTGATTTTTATTGCTTCTTTTTTTTTAAAAAAAATAACATCACCAGTTTTATTTATATTTTTTTGTTTTGCTCTCTTTTGCTGTTTTTAATTTAACCATCCCTTAAGTTGGGGCATCGTTGTTGCTTTTAAAAGATTACAATCTTGTGTCCTAGGCTAAGAATCAAGAAACCCCTTGATTGGTCAGTCTGTGATATGATCTCAAGGAAGCAGGGATAGGCTTCAAAAAATTGAGTTGCTGGGTGGGCGTGACCATGGTGGGCGTGGCCTAGTCAGCCTCCTGCACCACGGCGGTGTGTGGGTGTGTGGAGAGTTTTTGCCCTCCCCGGGCTCCGGAGGCTTTTCTTGAGCATCCCGGAGGGTGAAAACAGCCTCCCCAGGCTCCAGAGGCCCTCTGGAGGCCGAAAACGTTTCCAGGCTTCCTGAACTTCCGGTAGGCCCATTTTTCACCCTCCCCGAGCCTCTTTGCGCGCCCTGCACTTACCTGCATCCAAAATAGGCCACGTGGGGACTCCTGAGAGGGGTGGGATGGGGTGGGCGGGGCCAGCCAGGAGTGGGATTTGTGAGTTCTCCGAACCGCACAGAATCTTAGCTAGAGGTTCTCCCTAACCTCTGCGAACCCCCAACAGCCCACCACTGCAAGGAAGCCTTTGTCTGACTTGCAAAATATAAAATATCGAAGATTTATCTTTCCTGCAAAGTTAATGCATGCGCCCTTTAAATATTTTCAAACTCCATATCTACAAGTAGTGGTTCAGTTCACTATCTGGGTTATTCAATTTCATGATGGACTGTCTTATTAAAGGTGGAGTCTTCCTTGGTTTAAACTAGGTTTTAGTTTAACATTAGGAGCACCTGTCTACGGAGATTCTCAACCGTCCAGGTGCATTCTTTTAGAGCAGTGTTTCTCAACCTTGGTAGCTTGAAGATGGGTGGACTTCAACTCCCAGAATCCACCAGCCAGCAGCGCTGGCTGGGGGATTCTGGGAGTTGAAGTCCATCCATCTTCAAGCTTCCAAGGTTGAGAAACACTGTTTTAGAGGGTCGTTGAGGCCACTTGGAGGTTGAACCAATCGGCTGCAGCCCAGAAGGCTCCACCCCCATTTGCACCACTCAGGTGACCCTGAGGACACAGGTAAACCTCCAGGTGGCCTCAAGGACTCTGTAAAAAGGATGCAAATGACCAGCTTTGTCTGCAAGGAGTATCAATCCTTCTGTTTCACACTATCCTGTCAGAGCTGAAGAAGCTTCTTGGATGAGAAGCGAAACATTTTCAAGGAAGGGCCTTGGTGGCACAGCAGACTAAAGCGCTGTTAAGTAACACCAGCTGTCTGCAATTACTGTGACTTCGAATCTCCCCAGGCTCAAGGTTGACTCAGCCTTCCATCCTTTCGAGGTAGGTAAAATGAGGACCCGGTTTGTGGGGGCAATAAGCTGACTTTGTATTAAAAAAAAGAACACCACTTAGGGGGGGCCGAAAGCCCTACTAAGCAGGTATATACAAAAGTATGAAGGCTATTGCTTAAAAGCATTGTAAGCCGCCCTGAGTCTCCGGAGAAAGGCGGCATATAAATCGAACCAATAAATAAATAAATAAATAAAAACCAAGAAAGTCCACTTGCCTCTTGAAAAAGCACATTTGGGACAATAGGAACATCTGGCATTGACAGCTGTCCTACTGGGACACCAATAGAATGGTGGCCTCTCTTTCTCCACAGGAGATCTTCCTGTCTAAAGATATTGTTTGATTTCCTGTGGCTAAGTCCCAGAGGTGCTTTTTCAACTGGGCTTTGTGTTTTTTCTTTGAAGATGTTTCGCTTCTCTTTCAAGAAGCTTCTTCAGCTCTGATAGGATGGTGGAGGGTGGAAGGATTGATACTCCTTGCAGACAAAGCTGGTCATTTGCATCCTTTTTAGAGAGTTGTTGAGGCCACTTGGGGGTTTGTCTGTATCCTCAGGATCACCTGAGTGGTGCAAATGGATGCGGAGCCTTCTTGGCTGCAGCCGAGTGACTCAACTCCAAGTAGCCTCAAGGACTCTCTCAAAGAATGCAATTTTTTTTAAAAAATTTGATTTATATGCCGCCCTTCTCCGAAGACTCAGGGTGGCTTACAATGCGTTAAGCAATAGCCTTCATTCTTTTGTATATTTATACAAAGTCAGCTTATTGCCCCCACAATCTGGGTCCTCATTTCACCTGCCTTAGAAAGGATGGAAGGCTGAGTCAACCTTGAGCCTTGGAGAGATTCGAACTTACAGTAATAGCAGACAGCTGATGTTAATCACAATGCTTTTAGTCTGCTGAGCTACCAGGCCCGGTGCTGAATGACCAACCGTCTGCAAGAGTTATAAATCCTTCCCTTCCCCACCATCCAGTCAGAGCTGAAGAAGCTTCTTGGACGAGAAGATAAACGTCTTCAAAGAAAAACCAGAAAGTCCAGCTGCCTCTTTAAAAAAAAAAAAACACTTTTGGGACAACCAGGATCTGGATAACTGAGAATCCTCATAGACTTGTGGTTAACATACCTCCAATAAAAGGAGAATATTTGTAGCTCAGGATTGAAATGAGGGCTCCTCAGTGCCCTCTGAGCTTGGTGGTTTTCCTGAAGAGGTTTCATTGCTCAAACGAGGCGACACCATCGCTGATGTTCTTCCTCACACGAGCACTGATGACGGTACCAACTTAGGGTAATGAAACGTCATCAGGAAAACAGGCAAGTTGAGAGGACTCCTTAAAGATACCTCCACATAACGAAGTAAAGAGATTGGATGGCTCCAGCTCTGATTCCAGGTAGTCCTCAGTTTATGACCGCAATTGCGGCCAGAATTTCTACTGCTAAGCAAGACAAGTTGTGAGTCGTGCCCGATTTTCCCAACCTTTTGTTGCCAGCTTGTTACACGACCCTGGCACATTGCAACTATGGCAAGTACATGCTTGGTTGCCAAAGCGCCCAAATTTTAATCCCGTGACTCTGGGGAGGTGCTGAGATGGTCGTAAGGGTGAGGACCAGTTGTAAGTCACTTTTTTTCAGAATAACTGGAGCTGGAAGGGACTTTGGAGGTCTTCTAGTCCAACCCTCTGCTCAGCCAGGCAACCCTACGCTATTCCAGACGAATGAAATGGTTGTCCAATCTTTTCTTAAAAAACTCCAGTGTTGGAGCAACCGCAGTTTCTGGAAGCTCAGGTCGTTCCACCGATTAATTGTGGTACGGTGGCTAAATGAAGGTTGTAAGTTGAGGATGACCTGAACTCTGTTTTGCTGACGGTTGACAGCGTTAAGCTGCGTGAACAAAGAGTAGCTTGCAGTTTTCAAGTATTACCGTACTTTTCGGAGTAAAAGATGCACTTCCCCCCCCCAAAAGAGGGTGGAAATGTTGGTGCGTCTTATACACTGCACACAGCCATTTTTGGCCTCCCAAAACCCCACTCCGTGTGTCCCATTTTTGCGAAAAACAGGCCTGCTTTTCACAAAAACGGGATGTGCAGAGGATTTGGGAGGCCTGCAGAGAGCTCCTGGGAGCTGGGGAGGGCAAAAATGTGATGCGTGGGGGGTTTGGGAGGCCAAAACTGGGCCCGTTTTTTGCAAAAACGGGGCATTTTTGCCCTCCCCAGACCCCAGGAGCTCTCTGCAGGCCTCCCAAACCCTCTGCAGGCCCCAGTTTTTGGGAAAAACGGGCTCGTTTTTCGCAAAAACGGGATGCACAGAGGGTTTGGGAGGCCTGCAGAGAGCTCCTGGGGGCTGGGGAGGGCAAAAACTTTCTTCTTCTTCTTCACCTCTTTGAAATCTTGGTGCATCTGATACTCCGGTTCGTCTTATTATTATTATTTTTTTAATTTGATTTATATACCGCCCTTTTCTGGAGACTCAGGGCGGCTTACAATGCGTTAAGCAATAGCCTTCATTCTTTTGTATATTTTTATACAAAGTCAGCTTATTGCCCCCACAAACTGGGTCCTCATTTTACCTACCTGAGAAAGGATGGAAGGCTGAGTCAACCTTGAGCCTGGTGAGATTCGAACCCTGCAGTAATTGCAGGCAGCTGTTCTTAATAACAGGGTGCTTTAGACCACTGTACTACTAAAGCTCTTATAGTCCGAAAAATACGGGTAACTCTGCGTAACTTTCTCCCTCTCCCTCCAACCTCTTCTAGCATGTCATGAATCGGGACGGAGAGACGGGACGGGGCTGAAGAAACCCTCCACCCGATAAGAACCACCCAATCACCACATGTTCCTTTCCTGGCCTTCCGATCTCATCAAGACACCTCCTTTTCGGTCCATCAGAAGGAGCATCCCCGCTGTTTCTCCATCCCCAAAGGCGAAGTCAACTCTGGAGACGTCATCCCACCACTGAGTTTGCAAAGGAAGGAGTCCCTTCCAGGAAAGGCATCAAGCACTCTCTGAGTTTCCAGAGAGATTCTACCGTAGTGTACGACCTTGGGAGATGATTGCATCTACTCCAACCCCCCCGCCCCCCCGGAGATCTGGATTTTTGCACGGCAAACCCTTTCCTGCAGTGGCTGCAAGTCCGAAGCCAGTGAAGTGATGCCAATGTGGGAAAAATCACATTTTTCGTACCGGATCATTGTATAAAGAGATGTTCTCATGCATCGATCTGTCCAGCTTAAGCCTTCTTCTCCTTTCGGAGGTGGTTTGTGTAGACCTGTTTTAACAGACACGGAAAGTCGATCCCTCCTTAACCCTTGAATTGGGGGGGAGGGGGAGGCTCATGCTGCCGGCCCTGCGGCCCTGCGGCAGATAATGTGAAATGGGACATTGATCCCAAGCCCCCTTTTCAAGGATTCTCCCTCTCTCTGCATCCTTAAATTCCCCCAGAATTTGAAGAATATCCTTCAACCGTCAGCATCAAAATGCAAATAGGGCTTTGATTGTTTTTTCACGACACCAGACAATGATCCTTTCCGTTTGTATCTGGATGTGATAGAAGTTGCAAAACACAAGATTTCCCAGAACAGGCAAAAAACCAGAACAAAACAGGAAAGGAAGTGAGACTTCAATCAACCGAGTCAGAAAATGAACACGCTTGCAAGATGTACGTTTATTTCTGAAGCAAGAAATCACATTTCGGTACTGCTTTTCTTTCCAGCACAATAAACAATGAGGAATATCCAGTGGGAATAAAAACACTTGACAAAGTGATTTAGTGGGAGGGGCTTGGAACGATTTAGGAGCTTAATGATCAGTTAATGGACTTGAAACCCATCTCAGTTTGGAGACACAAAGATCCCTCCTTCCCTTAAAACAAGATACGAAAATCTTTTTGCTCTCTTTGGATGTTGCAGGAACTGGGCCTGGCTAGTCTAGTGAAGAAAAGGACCAGGGGAGACAGGAGAGCATCTTCCAATATTTGAGGGGCTGCCACAGAGAGGAGGAAGGGGGGTCAAGCTATTTTCCAAAGCACTCGAAGGCCCGAGAAGGAATAATGGATGGAATCTGAACAAGGAGAGATTCAACTTGGAAATAAGGAGGAATTTTCTGACATTGAGAGCCATCAACCCATGGAACAGAAGTTGCCTTCAGAAGTTGTGGGAGCTTCATCACTGGAGGCTTTCAAGAAGAGATTGGACTGCAATATGTCAGAAATGGGGTAGGGTCTCCTGCTTGGGCGGGGGGTTGGACTAGATGACCTACAAGGTCCATTGTATGATAATAACTGAAACGTTATTCCAATCCACAAAGTTATAAAAAATGGGACTTTGGCAAAGAAAAGTGAAGAGCAGACGCCAAGCAAAGGAGAATTCACTCGGTGGTGTGTCGCCAGTAGGAAAGTAGCATCTCTGTCCTATTGAAAGACCATCCTCCGTGACGGTCCGTTCAGGCGCAATCATTGAACAGAGAGAGAGGGAGCGGGGAGAGGGAGAAGAAGAGAGAGAAGGAGAGAGAGGGGGGAAAGAGAAAGAAGGAGAGAGAAAGGAGAGAGAAAGAGAGGGAGAGAGAGAATGAGACAGAAAGAGAGAGAATGAGAGAAAGAGGGGGAGAGAAAGAGAAGGAGAGGGGAAAGAAAGGAGAGAGAGAGGGAGAGAGAATGAGACAGAATGAGAGAGGGGGGGAGAGAGAATGAGAGAAAGAGGAGAGGGGAGAGAGAAAGAGAGAGAAAAAATCAGAATGAGAGAGAGAGTGAGAGAAAGAAAGACTTCACAATCTACTGTATACATTTTCAAACTTGCTTTTTCTTTTAACCCGTTGTAAATAAGCAGCAAAACAACTGTGGGGACAAATTTGGGACTCTTAACACTGTCGCTTGGACAAATGGCAGAAGAGACCGACAATTTCCGAAGCGCTTGTAGGTCGCTGTTCTGTTTTAGCCAGGACTGCCTCATCCGTCTGAAAAGAACCGGCTTTTTGGGAATGGCGGATACAAAGAAAAGGAGCTTTCCTAGGTCGCTGACATCCACAGGATGGGAAATGCCAGGGATTATAAATTAGGACTTGGTATGGGTAAAGCAAGCGTTGTGCCACGGAGCTTCACAAGAACGTATCATTGCATGTTTGGAAGCTTTGGACCCCTGCAGAAGCATCTGAGGCAGGGGTCTCCAAACTTGGCAGCTTTAAGACTTGTGGACTTCCAACTCCCAGAATTCCTCAGCCAGCTGCCCGACGTCCACTGGGCAGAAAGTTTACGGCCCTCCCGTCTTTCTCTCTGAACCGAGAAGAAAATAACAACGGACCCAGCAGATGTCTTCTAATGCCACCTGTGAGAATTAAATCACAGATAAATCGATATTTATTGCACGCGAGACAAGAAACAATGGATGGAAACTATTCTAATCGAGGAGAGAAGCAACCTGGAATGAAGGAGAATCTGTCAGGGTTCCCAGTAATACATCCATATCAAACAGAACTCTGAGGCAAGTAGATTCCTCAAAGAATTGGTTTATTGGACATATCACATTGGCACAAGATGGTGAAAACCGACTCTTAATATTCCCGCAGTTTTCACCAAGTTAAAAGTAAATGTTTTTCTCCTTCTCCAGTCAGCCAGTCAGTCACATAGTCCAATCACCGTGTCGCCTGGTAATGCCACTCCTCTTTCCGACCACCTGTGGGAATGACCTTGGTTCTCAAGAGAAAGTATTTTGTTTTGACTACAAACCCTACAAATCTCTACTTCCCCCCTCCCGAACCGTCAGCTCCAGTGTGGCAACAGTCAAGCCTCAAAATGGCCTCGGTCAAGGCAGCTTCAGGGTTGGCAGAATCTTCTGACAGTGAGGACGGTGGAACGGCTTGCCACCAGAAGTTGTGAGTGCTCCATCACTGGAGGCTTTTAAGAAGAGACTGGTCTGACATGGTATAAAGTCTCCTACTTGAGAAGGGGGCTGGACTAGAGGACCTCCAAGGTCAAAGGTTTCCACCTCTATTCTGTTTGAACAATAATCTGTACTGAGGGGTACAGTTTTTCTTTCTCCGTTGGCTTTAGGATTGAGGAGGGGTCTCTCCAAGGCCAGGCTGTTGGACAGTAAATGCCCAGCTTCAACACGACACATATGTCCGGCGTTCGGCTGACTCGCCCAATAAATGGAGCTTATTTGCAGAAGTAAACATGGAGGAAGAATTTTTTTCTGGACCATTTTTTCAAGGCAAGGTAGGCCTGAATAGAAGCCTTTGGTTTAAAAATGTCCTGAAGGTGATTTAGGTAAGGAGCTGTTCAGGTGGTTGTGCTTAGAGCAGGGGTCTCTAACCTTGACAACTTTAAGACTTGTGGACTTCAACTCCCAGAATTCCTCAGCCAGCCAAGCTGGCTGAGGAATTCTGGGAGTTGAAGTCCACAAGTCTTAAAGTTGCCAAGGTTGGAGACCCCTAGCTCAGAGGGTGTTTTCCCCCCCTTTTTTGGTGTGTATGTGTGTTCAAATTCATATTGCAACTCAATCCAACTTGATTTGCGATTCCTGGGCGATTTGAGGCTGTCTACAATCCTCAGGCTGTTGTCGGCGTCTTCTCCAATTAAAGCCCCAATGGAAACAATTGAAAAAATGTTATATATATATATATATATATATTCATGCAAACGGTTAGTAAAAGACACGTAATTGCAGACAAAACGACTGTGTGGTAGATCGTGCGCACACCGAATGCAAGCGCTTAAAAATTCAACAACGGACTTGAAAGAGTTGCATCTCGATAAAAACAACAACGATAAAAATAACAATAATTACAGAGAAGGTGGACTGAGTGGATTTAACCCATGCAAAGCTCTGCTTGTTTGGACTCGGGCTAGTAAATAGTGCCAATTTATACCACTTGGAGGGATCCGCCGATTTAAGGCCGGCAGGAACTTCAAAAGTCAGAAAAAGGATTTTAGAAATCCAGAGTCACTCCCCTCCATCTCCTGATTTTTTTTTAAAAAAAAAAACAGAGCTACACAGGGAACTTGGAAAGGTTTCCAGGAGTTTCCAGTGTAAACTAAGGAACGGGGAGATATTTCAAGATAAAAGCGGAAAGGGAAGGAAAGCACTGGGAAAGACGGTTTAAAGCAGGGGTCCTCAAACTTTTTAAACAGGGGGCCAATTCACAGTCCGTCAGACTGTGAGGGCGGAGGGGGGGGGGGGGGGCGGAGACTGGCTGGGTGGCGTGACTAGGTGGTCATGTGACTGGGTGGGCATGGCCAATTTAGCAGTCCATTAAACAATACACACCAATTAAACTCTAATTTTTTATGCTCCTGGAGGTGGAAAGGTGGTTAGTGAAGGGATGTGGCTGCCTTGGTGTGTGTGTGAGGGACTTCTCTCTGTGTGTATATGTCTCCCTCCCTCCCTCTCTTGAGGCTGGGGAGACCAAAACGGGCCTGTTTTTTGCCTCCCGAGGCCTCCAGAAGGCGGGTGGGGGCTGGCGGATAGGTGGGGCGATGTGGGCAGGACAGCCTCATGGTCCCACACGGGCCAGATTAATGGCTTCAGCGGGCCATCCGTATCTGGCCCGCGGGCCATAGTTTGAGGATCCCTGATTTAAAGGGAAGAAAAGAGGTCAAATTGTTCTTACATTAGGAATGCATGAGCTTGTAAGAGAGGCAGTTTATGGAAAGAATCCATATTTAATGCAAGGACTTTCCATTTAAGGACCTTCCTTAAATTCCTTGAAGGATAAGACATCGCCAGCTTCTTGGTGAGACCATCTCTTCTCCGTAGCAAAACACCAAGGCTGCAATTTGTCTAGTGAAGAAGCAACACGATTAACAGAATAGCAGAGTTAGGAGGAAGCTTGGAGGTCTTCTAGTACAACCCCCTGGTCAAGGAGACCCTATACTGTTTCAGACAAATGGTTGTCCAATCTCTTTAAAAAACCTCCAATGTTGGTGCACCCAAAACTTCTGGAGGCAAGCCATTCTACTGGCTGATTGCTGTCACTGCCAGGAGAAATTTCTCCTTAGTTCTAGGTTGCTTCCCTCCTTGATTAGTTTCCATCCATTGTTTCTTCTCTTACCTTCTGGTGCTTTGGAAAACAGATTGATCCCCTCTTTTTTGTGGCAGCCCCTCAAATATCGGAACACTGATTAGCTCGCCTGGATAACTTGGAGGGATGAAAGAAAATGTGGTGACAAAAGCAGTTGGAAAAGCGAAAGATAGCCTCTTCTTGATTTGCTCAGAAGTAACC